GGGAGTAAAGAGCCATTGGCTTATTCCTTGTAGTGGAATTTGTTTTCAGATGGAGAATTTTTGTAGTTTTTTCATTACAGTAGAATTTGTGTTCATGTAGAGATTTGTTATTTTGTTATCCAAATTTCGTTGAATGTTCGTGAATTAGTTGAAATAGGTGTTAAAGATGTAAAAAATGTTTTGGAACTGAAATTAGGTGCTTGGAATCAATTTATACCAAACTTAGTGCCATTGAAGGCGCTGTTGTGTCACTCGCTTACTGCTTGAGCGCCGCATGCTGCTTACCAAGTACGAGGCTGGGTTCGAACGGCGTATGTATTTCGGGAGCATTTTTTTTTATCATCTTTCCATCCAAAACATATTATTTTGGATCTCATATATAGTCCACGTGATTTTTGGCTTTTACATGAATTTGTATGAGTTAGAAATAAGTTAGAAACACAATATTTTGTGTTCTCTTTCCGTTATTAATAAATTCTTCTTTCCTTTGCCAATTTCTTGTGTTCTTCTTGTATTATAATTGCCACCTCATATTTTGTCATATAATCTCGTTATTTTCTAATAAGTGATATTAGTGCGCATAATTACTTGGTTAAATTTGTTAACATCTTTTAACAATATAATCTAGGATTAGGAAGAGATATATACTATGTAGGTAAAATTTCTTGAAGAGTCACTGAACTTTTAGCAAGATTTTATTTGGGTCACTATATTTAATTGGGCTACTGAACTTCAGTTTAATTTCAATATTTAATTGGGCTACTGAACTTCAGTTTAATTTAATTTGGATAATTGAACTTTAATTAAAAAATAAATAAAAAATTCTAGTTATTCGTATATATCGTCTTCCAAATTGATGAAATTACTGAATTGGGAACCATGCTGCAACGAATCTTCCATTTAATTGCTATGAGAAATATCAATTACCACTATAGCACGTTATCAAAGTGTTAGAAAAAACAAAACACGTGTTTTAACATTTTAATCTAAGACATTGGTATAACCCTCATTTTAACATTTTTGTTCCAAGGGTGCCACGTAGATTTTACTTAGAATATTATTTATGGAACGACTGTCAACAAAGTAACTTTTGACAGCATGGGGACGATATATGACGAAATATGACATATATGAAATTTTAAAACTAAATTGAACTTTAAGCATGATCCAACTAAGATTTCGCTAAAAGGATCGAATTTATGTAATTAACTGGCTTGATTTTATTTTAGGAGTATATTACTACAACAAATTAAAATGTCAAAGTTATCATGAAATTTTTAACAACGAATAAAGATGTAGTTGAATATTATTTTAATGATGAAATTTAAAGATTTGTAATTATAATTTCACCGCCTAAAAATCTGATCTTATTGCCTAAAGATTTAGCAATATATATATATAAATATATACACACACACACACATTCAAATGCACAACTACTTTGTTGTTGAATGTTAGTATATTAAACTAATATTACTACAGACTAAATATTTTACAGCTATATTTTTCTTTATCAACAATAAAAAGATCGATAGTATCTATATCTGAATATCTCATTGACACCAAATTTTTTATTTTATGGACACTATTCTCATGATATAATATAAATTAATAATATCATCTACAAGGTTTAAATTCTTCATACAATCTAGTCGTGCTGTAGACCTTTTGGCAGCATGCAGGGTTTAGACTAATTCAGGACCTTGTCGGTGTACATTGGTATAGGATAATTGGTACATAATTGGATATTAATGAACTAATCCTCTCTATTAAACAAGCCATTGAGTTTTCTAAAACGAACATCATGAATTCTGATTTTTTTTTCGTATGTTCTTGATGTAAAAACTTGAATTCTTCCCAAAAATACAAAAAATAAATCAATCTTTGTAAGAGGAATAATTTCTCTTGCATCATAGTTTTACAGCATTTGGAAAAAATATCTGATGGAACGTTGCAAGAAACAACCACATACAGTGCATGTGTCTGTCTATATGCTTATACAGGAAGGACAATAATGTACTGGGCCATTACAGGAAAGCAAAGCCAGCAGATACTCTAATTCTATAACTCCGTAAAGATACTTGAAACAAATCAAGAAAATATAATTCCCCAAACTGAGAAAAGCACACAGACACTATATATCTGTAACTGATCATGTTGATCAATCAAGAACAGACCATTTATTGACGGTCCTGATTTACAGGTTGGTATGGCAAGTGTGGTAGGGCCACCACCACCACCCAACCACCAACCACCACCTTGAATATCGCTGCAGTTACCTTATATAATAAAGAGGAGGATGATTCCACAGGTACTGAGTAAATTTATAGGAGTTTATGGCAATGGGCCATCAGATAAGGCTCCTGAGAGCCACCTGAAAATGATGAAAAATAAATAATTTGGATACTAAATTGACAATTTGCTCTTCCTTTTTTGTCAAATTTATGGACACTTAGTACTAAGATAATAGCGTTAATAGACACGAGAAGAATCAGAAAGTCAAAACAAGCACTGAATTTATATCTGCTAAGTACACTCCACATAAGAAAACATCTTATTGAGGTAGTTAAATACAGTTTCAGAACGGATGAAAGATTCAGCTTCAAATTTCACCACTACCCCCATTTTATCGTGCACGTATTAGGTATTAGGTTTCAGACTAAAGGCTCCACGTTGGAAAAAATTTAATTTATTCAGCCTGTTTGGGAGCGAATTTTTGGCCCAAAAATTTGATTTTTTTACCGTTATTTCACTATTCCAACCGTCATATTTGACTTCTTCTCTCACAGGTGGACTCCACTTTTCTCCCGGTCAAAAAATCAATTCTCAAAATCACTCCCAAATAGGCTCATTGATTAATTTTATCTGATGCCTAATAAATTAAGCATGTAAAATATCAATGCTAATTGAGCAAGTAACTTTTGAGTGTACATTTTTACATGCAAATTCGTCTTAGTTCCTTGAACCCAAAGCATAGAGGACAGGCAATCTTTTGAAAGATTAGCATATAATAACTAGGAATATAATCAATGTCATTATTTTCTTCGTATAATAACTATGCAAATGGCGGCCAATAGCATTATTCATATATTTCTCACAAAACCCTAAAGTACTAACATAAAAATGTAACTAGATCGAATAGAAATTCAAGCAGTGTTCTTAAATCTAGGATATCTAAGAAATCCGTGAAAATTAAGAAAAAGGGCATATATCATACGCTTGGTGAATCCAATTCATAAGTGATTACTAGTTGTAATGTGTAGATCATGGCCCTCTGCGTCATGGCTGGTTGCTTGAGCCTCGGAACCTCCCAGACTAAACCCATTGAGTGTTGATAGCCAGCTTAAATGTCCATCCATCACTGTCCCGCCTCCACTGCAACCACCATTTCCCATACCCAATTGTTGCCCTGGTAAAAGTGCCAAAGGCGTAGGAAAATTCATAAAATGTAGTCCACTACTAGGCATTGAACTTCCTCTACACATAGTACTAGAGTTTCCAATACCTGGAAATGTCCATAAAGAATCACCGCTCATCACTTGACTCTTATGATTTGTCATCATAAGAAACGTCGTCGCCGGAATCTGGTCCTGGCTAGCAGGAATCGACCCGGTACTTGACTGAAACATGTGAGTTTGAACTACCGGTTCTTGCTTTGCTTGTAACATAGAATTCACATTTATATTTCCATTAGAAAAATTTAATGGATTAATATTCTCTGGTGGTGATAATCCAACTCCAGAAAACAAAACCCTCCTCTGTGAATCTTCAATACTACTCCTCAAGGTTTGGTTAAAATAATTATTCCTCAAATGTAACGGTGCTGACATGGTTGAACCAGAATTCCTAGCCGATAAGTTAAGTGAACTGAAATTTGCTGGGATGGTTCCAGTACCTGTAGCGGCAATCACCGCTGGCTCCGCCTGCTGGAGCAACCACTCGACGGTTTCACCGTCTGATTTGTGGCCTAATTCTTTAGTAAGCTGGAAAACCCTAGCAGCACAAGTTGCAGGCATTCGGATCCGACGACCCCGGCCATCGACCTTTGTATGCCTATCCTTGGTTGAGTTCCTTTTAGGCTGAGGCTTCTTTTCTGCTTCCAAATTTCCTGAATTTGTAGGCAAAATCGAGCTGGAACTAGCTTCTTCAAAATTTCTTTTCTTTAGTAACTCAAGTGGGAAATTTGGGCTTTGCATAGAATTATCACTTCCACCATGATCCATGATCATAAAGTAATATACTCTTATGGGCTAGGTCAGTACACGTATGGTGTATCTATCTGTAAATGAGCCTCACTTCAGTTACTTGTGGGACTCTCTCTCTCTCTGATTATTTTGTGCTTTTGATTTTGGAGGAGCTTTTATCAACATTTTTATTTTTTACTTGAAACCACGATAATGTCAAAATGGAGAGTTCAGTACTTCAAAGGGAGGTTAGGTCTAACCTCCAAACTAAGTGCGAGAAAAATAGAAGTGACTTCGCTCAAAGATGCGGAGTTCAAAAATGCTAAAAGATGAAGCAAAACTATTTAATTTTCTTGAGTTTCGTGATATACTTAAGAGTCTTCATCTAAATCAAATTCACTCTTCATGAGAGAGTGTCCGAAACAATTAAATTCACGTCGAAAATCCCAAAATTCAAATCTCTCATTAACATATTCAAATGCATCACATGTATAATCACTGGTTCAGGGACACAAAGGTTGTGTACTGAGGTTGAACTCATGTGTCGATAATTGTGTTCGTGTAACCCTTGTGCTTGAATGGCACAAATATGTACATCTCACGAGCACTTTGTCGACTTGACTCCAAGTATTAATACATATTGTGTATTTAATTAATTAATATATACCTTTTCTTTTTCATGAATAATTATTCCAAGTATTGATATATATCAGAGATATTTAATAAATATTTGATTTTTTTCTTTTTTTTTTATTTATAATTGTCTTGACCAATTTATTATTATTATTTTTATTTATTTATTTTTAAGAGTTTTGTTGACGACATATCTCATGCCATGTACCTAACTACCTATAGGATACTTATATACTCAAGCACTTTTAGACACCAAGATCATTTGACAAAAAAAAGGGTCGGCAATCGTCAGTGTTTCGACGGTCAAATCAAATGTGGGCTGGAGAGAAAAATAGATGGAGATTTGGTTAGAGTTTAGAAAATGCCTACATTTCCATTTACATATGCATGTATTTATAGGTAAGGAATTGAGTTGCGTTTCAACGAGTTTGTTTCCCCGAGATCTTCTTTGATCCTCAAAGGATTACATGCTAGTTTTTAGTGATTGATAAGTTTGTTTCCTTATCGAACACTTTCTTTCTAAAGTACGTCCAAGTTCGAATTTGAATATTATTGTCACCTTTGCCGGTCGGTTCTCTGGATGTTTTGCCTTCATCGTTTTGTAGCAAGGTTTCGGCCGGTTCGCGATGCTTCCATCGAAGGGCATTGTTGTGTGAAAACTAAATGGACGATAATAATGTCGAAAGTGTGAACTAGTGGATTACATATCTTTGCTTAATAGGGTGAAGGGCTTGCTTATTCACCACTATTGAAAGCCTGCGTGGCCCTTGCTGCCAAGACTTTACAGGTTTCAAAGCGTAACAAATTGAAAATTTTTAATCAAAAGAAACGAAGAAAACTGTGAATAATGGAAAAAGGCTGGCATACCACTTCCCTTTTCATACTCTATAGTCCATTTGAACCTTAAACCATCACGTGACATATGGCATATTTGAAGTTGTAATCAATTTAAATTATAAAAAAATTAAAACGAATGATGAATAATTAAGTAGTAATTATGAATTTCACGAAATGTGTGAATAAAAAGTAATTTAATCAAATGATATTTATAATATAAAAAAGTATCACCCAAGCGCTGACAATCTTAATTTTTAAAGGGATTAAATGGTAACTATTTAATTTTAATTAAAAGGCAAATAGAAAAGAAAACGAGACAGAAAAAGATAAAATGAACTCTCTCCTGCCTGGCTTTGTTCTTCACATTATTAGTACTACAATTAAGGGAAAATTGCAATAGCGGTCCCTAACCTTTTCGACTTTTGCAGATTTTACCATAATTTTCATTTTGTGTTATTTACAGTTCCAAATCTTTCAAAAATATGTATCTAAAATCCAGATGGATGAAATTCATCCATTTAACTGTTAGTTGACCAAGGATAGTGGGCTTTGACCAATTTTGACTAAATTGGAAGGAGTAAAATAGTACTTTCATTTTTCTCCCATTAAATAAGTTAAAAAGAAATAAATAAATCATAATTAAAAAAAAAAAAAAAAAAAAAAAGGTATATACTCAAGCACTTTTAGACACCAAGATCATTTGACAAAAAAAAGGGTCGGCAATCGTCAGTGTTTCGACGGTCAAATCAAATGTGGGCTGGAGAGAAAAATAGATGGAGATTTGGTTAGAGTTTAGAAAATGCCTACATTTCCATTTACATATGCATGTATTTATAGGTAAGGAATTGAGTTGCGTTTCAACGAGTTTGTTTCCCCGAGATCTTCTTTGATCCTCAAAGGATTACATGCTAGTTTTTAGTGATTGATAAGTTTGTTTCCTTATCGAACACTTTCTTTCTAAAGTACGTCCAAGTTCGAATTTGAATATTATTGTCACCTTTGCCGGTCGGTTCTCTGGATGTTTTGCCTTCATCGTTTTGTAGCAAGGTTTCGGCCGGTTCGCGATGCTTCCATCGAAGGGCATTGTTGTGTGAAAACTAAATGGACGATAATAATGTCGAAAGTGTGAACTAGTGGATTACATATCTTTGCTTAATAGGGTGAAGGGCTTGCTTATTCACCACTATTGAAAGCCTGCGTGGCCCTTGCTGCCAAGACTTTACAGGTTTCAAAGCGTAACAAATTGAAAATTTTTAATCAAAAGAAACGAAGAAAACTGTGAATAATGGAAAAAGGCTGGCATACCACTTCCCTTTTCATACTCTATAGTCCATTTGAACCTTAAACCATCACGTGACATATGGCATATTTGAAGTTGTAATCAATTTAAATTATAAAAAAATTAAAACGAATGATGAATAATTAAGTAGTAATTATGAATTTCACGAAATGTGTGAATAAAAAGTAATTTAATCAAATGATATTTATAATATAAAAAAGTATCACCCAAGCGCTGACAATCTTAATTTTTAAAGGGATTAAATGGTAACTATTTAATTTTAATTAAAAGGCAAATAGAAAAGAAAACGAGACAGAAAAAGATAAAATGAACTCTCTCCTGCCTGGCTTTGTTCTTCACATTATTAGTACTACAATTAAGGGAAAATTGCAATAGCGGTCCCTAACCTTTTCGACTTTTGCAGATTTTACCATAATTTTCATTTTGTGTTATTTACAGTTCCAAATCTTTCAAAAATATGTATCTAAAATCCAGATGGATGAAATTCATCCATTTAACTGTTAGTTGACCAAGGATAGTGGGCTTTGACCAATTTTGACTAAATTGGAAGGAGTAAAATAGTACTTTCATTTTTCTCCCATTAAATAAGTTAAAAAGAAAAGTGACACAAAATAAAGGTTATAGTAAAATCTGCAAGAATTGAAAGGTTTAGGGACTGTTGCTGTAATTTTCCCCTCAATTAATTTGGTTGGAACAACTTGGTACGTATGACGTGGAAGGGTTGGAATCCACGGATTGAGAGAATGAAAACAATTGGTACGGATTCTTGAAACTAAAGGGCTGAAAAAGAAAGAAAAAAGTGCAATTTTACGACAAAGGTACAGAAAAAGTTTAATAGAATTCATACAAAAAGATACTTTATGGTTTTTCATTAATTTTTCATACAACAAACACAAAAAAATGCACTATACGAATGCTGTCAATGTAATACCTGTATCATTTCTATTAATAATTTCCTTGTACCTATGAAATTATTCAAAAAAGTGTGCCCCTCATCTCCTTGATTGTCTCGTGTTACTGCGTAAATTGTTGGAATTGTATTTGGATCTTGACTACCCTAAGTAGCACCATAAAATGATAAAATTTCTCGAATCACGTATAAATTAATAAAACATTTCAACAACCAACATCATAAAACAAAACCCTTGTCAATGAGTTGTCCATATAATATGTCTACTTGTGATCTTTAGAACTTAAAAAGTCCTCGTTGGGTTCCACTTAAAATTTAAAGGTATCAGTTGCCCGTGACCCTATACATGAAGAAGGGCTCAAATTAAAATTAAAATTAACAATTAATTTTAACTGCAGATTTCATGGAACTAACAATATTTTAATTACATATTTCATTAACTTTTATCAAAATCTGTTAAAAACTTGATTTTTATCTAAATCAAATAGGGGCTAAGACAATTAAGAATACAATTTCTCGAACAATAAACTAAATTTGTTAAGTATTAAACATTGTTTAGATGACAATCAGTTGTGTCAATCCCTCCATTTTAATTTTTACATGAAGTTATACTTATTGACATGATTCGACTTGTTTCATTTGATTATAATCACAACTTTTGTCCTTAAATCCCAAATACCTTTCTTTTACTCACTTGGGCCAATGATAAAAAACCAATAATATCCGAATTCAATATATTGGAAGTACAGTTTCCATAACCAACGACACTGTCACGTTTCATTAATTGGACCCTATTTTCAAATAATGTACAAGAAAAGTTGGTTGTACAAAACATGAGAGTTATACTATGGCCTTGTTTGAGCCTTTTTTTAGGAATACATTTTTTCAAAATTTATTCTCAACTACACATTCTTCTATAAAATAATTATACATGTATTTCAAAAACTTTTGATTATTTTTTAATCACACTGTAGTTCTAGGTCCACTCAAGCCAAAGCACACAGTGCAGTGGCCGAGGCCTTGAAGCCAAAGCGGAATGCAACATGGCCAAAGTTAACGCCTTAATTGAGGCTCAGGATTATAAAGTTCGAAGCCTAGTATGCCGAGGCGGTAGCCTCCAAAGCCCACGACGTTGAGGCTGAAACTTCTGAACATTCTCCAAAAAATTACTATTCCATAATGCATTTTATTTCAAAGATGGGAATCAAACGGGGGTTTATATATAATTCTCGCATTTTTTTTTCTTTTTAAAGATTATATTCAAAATTTATTATCATTAGATCGAAGTTGCAATATATTCTAAATTTATTAAAAATAAGAAGCCATTTTTTTAATATTTATTCATGATCTTCGAAAGATTTATTCACAAATGCATAATAATTAATATTAAGTTGATGAAGTAATGGGCCAAGGTTTAGGTCGCTATCCTGATTGAGAAATCAGGTGCGGATGAAGATAGACTT